GAAGGAAAGGAGAAGGGAGTGATTCTGATTCCGATTCTGCTGTAGAGTCTGTATCAGATTCCGAGTTAGACAAGCTGCTTATTTCTGATGATGAACTGCTATCCTTTTGATGTGTTGGATTCTCCAGTTGTTGAAGGTCAAGTTGATCCTTGGATGTTTTACTCCAATCCCAGAATGAATCTTCAAGAAAACGAACATTTGCGGATACAACTATTTTGTTTGGCCCTGTTCTTGAAGGAATGTAAACACGATATTGGGTTGGAGATTCACAATATCCAATAAAAATGCCTTTGTCAGAGGTCGGAAGCAATTTATATCTCCGTGGGTTCTGGCTATCAATCAGTACGTAACATATACAACCCCATACTTTAATATGCGAAATGATTGGTAATTTTCCATGCATAGTTTCGGACGGTGTTCTGTTACCGGGTAAAATTGGCATTCTATTCTTTAAATAGCAGGCAGTGGTAACAGCAAGATCCCAAAAACGCATTGGAAGTTTAGAATGATCGAGCATGCATCTAGCCATAGTAATGATAGTACGATTTAATCTTTCAGCAACCCCGTTCTGATGTTGTGTGTAGGGAGCACTCATTTGTTTTGTGATACCATTGAAATTAATCTTTTTGTACTCTGCTCCTCCGTCGAAACGCATAGCTTTTATCTTTAAACCAGTTTGAAGTTCCTTTTCATTTTTATATTCCAGGAATTTATCTCGGACATCTTTTGTAGTTTTTATGGGGTAAATCTTACTCTCGCGAGAAGCATCATCTGTAAAAGAAACGAAATAATTGCTTCCAAGGATCCCACTGACACGACATTTTCCCCAGACATCCGAGTGCACAAGATCAAGAAGATTTGCTGCTCTTGGTGTAGGATCTCTATTTATTCTTTCAACCTGCTTACATGAGTGACAAGTATGACAATCTTTAATTAAATCTGATGTTACATTAAGTTTTGACTTATCATTTCCTTTAGTTTTATGTAAGCAAAGGTCTGAGGAGTAAATTTTTTTCAATAGTCCTGTACCAACATGGGCAAAACGATTGTGAATCAATTTTGAAGTTAGTGCCTTCTCATCCTGCGAGATCAAAATTTGGCTTGGAGTAGAATGTGTTTTAGAGGCACCTTCTTTCGGGTTTATTGTATTAAATCGAAAAAGGCCATTTTCCATTCGAGCACTTGCGAGAAGTCTATTCTCAGGTGAGTGAATTCCCATGCCGTATTTATTTGTCCTCATCTGGAATCCTTTTTGAATGAGCTTTGAGCCGGAAACGAGGTTTCTGGTACATGTTGGTAGGTACCAGACGTTATCAATTCTAATAGTCCGATACTTGTTGCCACCTTCATATCCCGTGACGTGAAACTCCACAGTCCCAATTCCTGATACAGTTGACAAGTGTCCTGAGGCTGTTTGAATACTCTTTTCGGTGGGGGACATGGAGATGAACAGGGATTTGTCGTGAAACACATGGCAAGTAGCACCGGTATCGAGTATCACATCTGAGTTTTTGGAACTAGAGTAGTATAAATCAAATTGTTCTTCTAAGATCCATGCACCCTCATTTGATGAGCCTTCATTGTCTCTTTCTTTCCTCTTTTTATTATACGCTTCTTTGCGTCTCATCACACTTGCAGCCTTAGAAGGATTTTTGGCAGCCCACTTTGTACCATCAGGAGTCTCGATCCAATCAAAACAGTTTTCACGGACGTGATTGGCGCGCTTGCAGTGAGCACAATATCTTATTGCCCTGGTAGTGTTATTTCTAACTCCTTGGTTTATGTGTGCTACGGTCGCCGCTTCATGTTGTCTATTAAAGCTTGATTGCGTCTCCCTCAAAGTGTTAACCGTCTGACTAAAAGAGATTGATGCGTCTAATCGTAGATAAGCAACAACACCACCATAGTATCCGTTACATTCTGTTTCGAAATGTCGTAATAGGCGATTCTTTTTTGTCATATCGGAGGGACGTTTTAATGGATCAAGTGACGCTATTTGAGATTGCTTTTGGGTGAGTTCATTTGCATACTCATCAACATCTGTCCCTTCGGTCATTGAGAAACTCCAAAAATCTTCTAGGATGGTGTCCACCACTGCCTCACTTTGTGGCTGATAGTATAATTTCAGCGATATCCACATCTTACGTGCCGTAGGCAAGCTTTCTAGAATATAGTAAACCTCTTCGGGCACAATTTGGAGTAGGGCCGCTCGAATGTTATTGTCAGTTGTTTTTGCTGATTTTTGAGGAGTTCTTGTTGTCTTCAGATCATTTTCATCATTTAACTCGGACAAATCTTCAGAGACATACTTCTCAAGGTTAAGGCCGTACAAGCACATCGTGAATAACCTGCTCCATCTGGCATACGTTGATTTGCTCAGGACAGGTGCGTTTTTGATGCCTTTTAATATTTCGGCAGTCGACATAATTGAAAACTAACTGGTTACGGCTCCAGTTTTGGCTAGGTGGGATGAACAGGACTGGTGTTCAAGCTGTACGACACAAGTGGTACGGATGCTATCTTTGTCGACTCGGAAGATTACTAATTTAAATCAATGTTGTCTCAGCTGGTCAGAGTTTGGTCTCATAATCTGTTGAGATGAAATAATTATTGATCTATTAATTAGAGTAAAATTGCATAAGGAAAACTATAACGAACTATTACTATCTTATATACATAATTAGCAGTCCACGAGTGATCTAGTTCTTCAACGACGGTGCAAGTGTCCTCTACTGGTACCCTGGTAGAAGTGAGTGATCTGTCTTCCTGCCTCCCGTTTAATGGCGGAAGGTCAGCATCATGTGACTGACATCTCTTTCAACCTAACACCACACAAATGTTCTACCTAGCTGGTAAACACTAACAGCCAGGTAAATGTATGACTCATTTGCTATTTAGCTTATACTAACATTGTATATTCTAGGTTTCAACACTCTTGTTACTAGAAGATCTGACTTTGCTGGGTCAAAATCGATCCTGTGCTCTCTTGCAAGAAGGATAAGGCTGTCGAGGTCGTCTTGAGCTGCGGAGATAGCATCCGCCGCGGTGTTTCCAATTCTGAAAATAGCCACATCATTGGCATAACCAAATCTGCTTGTTAGACCATGATCCTCAAAATCACAGCATTTTAAAGCATGAAAAGAAGTGGCAATAGTGGCGAGCCCTGAGGTACTCCACATTCCAGTATCTTCAGCGAGATTGATTTGATTTGACTGAATTTAACGTTGTGCCCATCCACAGCTCGTGACTACTGTCACGTACTGGACGGCCCAGTCCCTACAGAGCTATCCGACGCTCTACTTTCCAACTTAAATGTAGCAAATTTCCCTCTGCCAAGAACTTCACTTTTTTTTTAACAAGTAGTTTTAAATTACACCCGCAGAACAAGAAAATAAGAATAAATCCTTCCATCCAACATTAACCCCACACCAGATTTTAAGGGAATATCTAATGGGATCTTTGGATTCCGTCTAAGGACTTCGTCTGCTCGACCCATTTTCCGAAGGCAAGGGCGCCCTCGGGCGTGCCGAGTATCCATCTGATTCCATGGTGAGGGTGTCGAGGTCCACCACAAAGACGGGCACGGTTTCTTCCTATACTGCATAAGAAGAAGTTATCTGGGCCACAAGCGAGTTTATAAATCTAATCACAATATGGGAGTAGTGTTAGATCACGTGTAAAGGGCCAAGTGTTGTGTTATCCATGTAACTTACCATGGTACATGCTTTAGGTCGCGTCACAGCATATGCACGTGACTGTGGAACTAAACCGTAGGGCGTTTAGTCTGTAATGCATGTGTGATGCATGTGTGGGTATACTGGACCAAACTAGAACTAGATGGAATAGAGATAACAGAATCAGCGAGAGACTAATGGACTGAGAGAGAACGAGCTGGTCATTTCTCGTAGGAGAGAAATGATATCATAAGGGAATGTTCTAGCACTAGGCTGTGAACAACACAGTAAGTCTGGAGCAAGATATAAGGAGGTCTCAACCTCCGTCCATTCATTTGTAACTAAGTTTCCTTTATACGAGAATATAGAGTCAAGTCTTACATATCACGAGAACACACGCGACAGCGACTATAGAGACCTACTGTGAGCATAACTTCCCCAAGAGTATCCATCGTCCTGCTCCCATATAGCCTAGTTAATATAACACCAAGGGATGTAGAACAGGCTTTGTAGTTAAAAAGAGCCTTAGCTTCCACCTTCTAAACTCCTCATAGGAAATATAATTATTTAATTATGGCTTTGCTTTCGTGCCATAGCCGAAAGTCCTAGCCCGTCTCATCTGCAGACTCTACAATGAGAGCTGGAGGCTCATAGGGGACACTACTGACAGGTGTTGAGAATTTTCCCCCTGGTTCAGAGTAAACTGAATGATAAAAGTGAGATTGCGTGTGTGCATGTCTTATGAGCTATGGTTTTTGACAAGGATGTAATCAATAGATATACAAGCCAGGAATAAAAGCTATATACATATGTGTTGATAATAGATCCGAGAAAACTATAACAATTAAGTAATTCTTGGCATTCCAAGATATATCATATTTTGTAAAGGTTATGAGTTAAATGGGAACATAGTAACTTGGCACTTTGTCGTGATATCGCTTGTCAATGACCGGCTCTGTGCCGACAGGTGTGTGGATCCGGAAAAGACTTACAGGGTTATGGGAAGTTGCACAATAACATTACATAATCATAATTATAGATCACTTCAGTATTGAGGGGTAAGGAGGGATTGATATATATAGACGTAGAGATATCCTACACTTAGAGGATATAGAATTCAAGTATTAGTCTCAAGCTCTACACAAGATCCGTTGTAGTTAGGAGCCACAAGACACCACGTGATATCACCCCAATCTTACACCCACACCCATTGTATACTAAGTATACAACGCATGCTCGGAAACTCAAAAATCTATTTTTGAAGAGTAAACCTCATTTCCAAGTTTCAAAAAAAAGTAAGATCAACCTATCCAACAATACACCACGTCTGAAAGGAGCGAGCCAGCGACAATTGCAGGTGTTAACAAAAAGGTTCGTGATCATATTGACCAGCAAAGCGAGTTCAACAATAGGATCAAGAAGCAACTCGAAAAACTTGAAAACGTGTTAGGTTTGCAAACAGACAGTGCCATCCACCAAGCGGAACAAAGCAAAATAGTGGCCGAAAGGATGGACCGCATAGAAATAACAATGTACGAGATAAAGACGAGTCTCAAAGCGATCCAACCAAGAAACCAACCTGGTTAGCTTGCAATGTTTGAACCCTCCAATTCGGCGACCCGACCTGAAAAAGGCAAAGCCCCGGCAAGGCTGGATACACACTCTCCGGTTGACAGCACAAATGACACCCCCAAACCAGAGCCCGATTCATTTGCTTTAACACCTGGCGAAAAATTCGTCAAAGTAGCCTGGCCTAAGGCACTTGTAGCGCATGAGATAAATCACGAGGCATATACTAGAAAAAATAGCAAAGTAGTCATTTGGCCAGACCTTTGCCTCAACAAAGCAAATTCTACCGTTTTCTTAAAGCTCGCTGAAATTCAGTCAGCCCTAGGAATAGCCTTGGTCCCATACTGGTATTGGCCGCAACGTCTCTGCCTGGAAATGAAAGTAGATTTCCAGGGGACACATGTTTGGGCCGAGGAAGACCCCTCGACCACTTGGCCTCTACTCCTCGAGGACATTTTCAAAACAATGCAGCAACTAGATGTCCTGCATGGTCCGAGGACTTTATTCTCTCGCCTCTCTGCCAAGGACGGAGAGGACATAAATCCTCCGCTTCTCGAATCCGTGACAGCTACTATCACCTATCTAAAGCCAATAGAGATAGTAATACAACTCGCGACACCCTTGCAGACATCACAAAGTCCTACTTACCAAATGTTTGGACGCTTCTATAGCCAACAATGGTAGAAGGACTACTTGTGAGGGTATCAAATCCCTGGTTCAGATTGCAGGCCGAATTTCACAATGGCCAACACAACCAAATCTCGGCACCAGCGCAGGACAATCCCCTCAATCTAGGCTCCTTATAGCAGATCCCAGGTTGAGCCAACAAGAAATCTTCCAAGCCCAAGAAGGGGCTGACTCCATACTGCCAAAACCGAAAAACTCGTTCCCAATACGCAACAGTAGCTGCGCCATCTGTAAAAAATAGGACACTGGGCTAGAGAGTGCCCACAAAGAAACCCCACTAAACCAGTTCCGCAATACCACAAGCGGGAAAAGAGCAACGATAAGTACGGTAACTTCAAGAAGAGATTTTCAACACTACTAGATAAAACTCGGCTTCAAAGGCATCAGCAGACGGACAGACCAAGAAATCAAAGGACCTATCTGATAGACTCGATAGACCCCGAAGAAATACCTGGCAAAGTACAACACGCTGACGACAACGCCACTGATGATGAGCTGGAAAAGATTTTCGATGAACTCGAGCAGGAGCAGTCCTACGAGTAAGGATGTCAAGTTGCTTACTTCGTGGCAGTAAACATCGGAAATAACACGCCACATCTCTGCAATAAACCAACGCGAGAGGGACATGGTAAGCCATACAACCTTTTCCACACTTGTTTAACCTCATCTCCTTTGTGCAGCTTCTCCACCTTCTTTGATAATGGATGCCCTTCTTGTTACATTTCTTCTTCTCTCGCGCAAAAGCTCACCCCCTACCAGACAACTCAGGCTTCCACAATGTGTGGAATAGGCGGGAGAGGCCCCACGATCTCTGAAGATGTTCTAGTCAGTGCGCAATTTTTTCTTTCTCCACCAAACAACCAAAAGTTTTCCTCGCCTTTCACCATTTCGGCTGGTATTGTTCCCGACAGAACTTTCCCTGGGGACCTCACGCTTGGGCAAACAGCATTCCACGCATTTGGATTAGAGTTCCTCGCCCACGGTGAGATTTAACTCCTCGAATTTCTAGAGATACCAGTCCTTACCCTCCTCATCGAAAATAATCTGACCCATAAAATCTTCACAACCAAAGAAACACAAAAAATTAAGTGGCACCCTAATACCACAGTTCAAGGTGTAAATTATGGGCAAATATACGCAGAAAAATTTCCTTCCCTTTTCGACAAATCTCTAAGAAGATCCGACATTCTTTCTAAAACTTCACACCGCATTGACACCAACAAGAGCCTCCCGATCAAACTACCACCTAGGCGCTACAGTCCATCGCAAATTCAAGCCATCCGCAATTTTTGTACCTCCCACAAAGGAACATTGATCAAGAAATGCAGAGGACCATGGGCAGCACTCCTGCTGATTACGCCAAAGAAAACAAACGCAAGCTCTGATAAAGTAATCTGGCAAATATGTGTAGACTACAGGGAACTAAATGAAGTTACAAAAAAACATGTACACCCTCTACCAAATACGCAAGATGAAATACAACGAGCCTCTGGTCACAAGTATGATGCATTTCTCGACCTCGAAAATGGCTTCTGGCAAATTTGCATGCATGAAGAAGACAGCGAAAAGACCGCCTTCGTCACTCCATTTGGCGCTTATCAATGGCTAGTCATGCCTTTCGGGCTTTGTAACGCCCCAGCTACATTCCAATCTTTTATGGAAGAAGTCCTCCAACCATTTTGTCTATTTGTTGCGGGTTTACTAGATGACGTCGCAGTCTGGGGAGACACACCCAAAGAACTCCACGCACGTTTTATTCTGGTATTTTCTAGGTTCGCGGAGTACGGATTGATTTTAAATACCTCTAAATGTCAACTTTTTGCTACCCACGGCATTTTCCTTGGTCTTTTGATTTCATTTCTCGGTATTTCAGCCGACCCAAGCAAGGTATCTGCAGTAAGATACAGACCGACGCCACAAACAACCTCTGAAATTCGCGGGTTTGTTAACGCCCCAGGTTACCTCCGGTCTCACATTAAAGATTTCTCAAGATTGGCCGGCCCACTTATTGATCAATCCACGGGACCAAAAAACGCACCTGTCACACTCACGACCGAGGCTCAATTAGCATGGAGCAAAATCAGAGAAGCGCTCACTTCTGCGCCAGTAGTTAAATTCTTTGACTGGCGCCTGCCGGTTGTTCTAGAAACAGACGCATCTCAGAAATTCCTCGGAGCAGCACTGCTGCAGCCCAGCATCTCGATAACTGACAACTCTGGATCTACCTTACACCCCGTGGCCTATTTTTCACGCAAACTCAACGAAACGCAGCAGCAATACTCGGCCCAGGAACGAGAACTACTGGCAATCTTGATGGCATTACAACATTGGCGACACTGGGTTGAGGGATCAGACGTCACTGTTGTTACAGACCACGAATCACTTAAGTCCATCCAGACTAAAGCTGAGCAACCTGTCAGAATTGTCCGATTTTTAGACAGTATTGATGTTACGGTTTGACCGTTGTTTTAGCTTAGGAGGAAACCTAAGCTTTTAATTAGGAATAATTACGATAAGCATGAAAGAGGAAGGATGGGCAAGCAGAGATGAAATGGCACTACTAGCCAGGAGGTCGAAGCAACATCATAGCGTAATGGCTCCTGATAATACTTGGCTCGGTATCAAGTATTAGGCCTAGTTGGAAGTTATCAGTCAGCAGATTCACGAAGCGGATCAAACATTATAAGTACCTGTTAGTAGTAGCTAGAGATTTCTTGTCTCTTCATATAGTTTAATAAATCGATTTATTCATCACCAACTTGGTTTCTGTCACAATTTAAACTATATCCCACATTCTTTGCCCGTCATTAAGCATATCGCAGCCTTAGATAACTGTGACTTAGGGCATCTTTAATTATTGGTTTCAACGCACAGAGATTTGAAGAATCAACAATGGGTTCAAATATGAACAATTTTAACATTGGAATGGACTCTATGGCAATTGGTTTATCGAACCAGGAATCGATGCCACATGGAGAAATACAGTCGGAGATGCAGTAACTGGTCGAAGAAATGAAATTAAGAGAAATGGAACACAGAAGAGATCTGGGGATGCTACAATCTCGATTGAAGGAAATGATGGAAACAATGCAGGAACAGTCCGAGGCTAACAAAAATTACCCCTGCAACCGTCAAGAACTAATGTGGGAGACCAATCAGAATGCAGAGAAAGTTTCATAGAAGAGGAACCACTTAAATGGCCAGAAGCATACGACCATAAGGATAGAACTAAGTGGGCAATTACACATGGAATACTTCAGTACATATATAGGCGTTATGTAGAGGAGCGATGTATTCTTCAACCATCTGACTTTTTAATGCAACTATTTGGTCATGCAGTTACTGGAACAGCGAAAGATATGATTATAGGTCAGTTTCAAAATATGCTTGCAAATGGCATGGAATGGGATGCGCTAGGGCTGTTACGGGCTATGGATAATACCTATTGCGACAGAAACGAGGAATAATTGGCGGCCGCACTATTTCATGCATGTCGAAAATTTCGGGACGAGAACCTATCGTCATATCTACTGCGCTTCCAACAATTACTTTCACGAAGCCCCAGTTTGAAAGGGAATGAGAAATGCAAGATTTACCAGTTACGGAACTCTCTGAATAAGACAACTAGGAATTACATGATTGGTGGTGTGCATCCTAAAACACTTAGAGAGTTGATTGATTACCTGTCAATCCTAGGTTCTGAAATTGACGAGGTTGTTATAGAAATTACAAGGGAATACCTACTAGGTCAGACTGGGTACTTCGACGACGGAACACGAGGCGTAGCTGGGGGCAAACTACTAGAGGAAATCTCACAAAAGATAACTTGCCACCTTCCAGCTAGATCCAGCTTACACAGTGAAGTTGTAGATATTGACACAAGGATGACCGGTATCAAAAAAGTCCGTGCAAAGTGGGTATCACGTGATGAGATGAATGGGCGCAAAATGGATGGGTCATGCTTGCAATGTGGGAAGAAAGATCACGGTATAGCTAACTGTTGACTGCTGCCAGCTAAGCATCCTGAAATACTTGTCCAAGCAGCAACATTTGTACAGGATATTGCAGATAATTTCAAGGCTAAAGTTGCGAAAGGCGAGGTGTCAAAAGAATTAGCTCCCAAATCAAAATATGTCCGGGGACAAGGAAACGGTGCTATAAATATGGTCACTAGCTCAAATTTAATTGAAGATAAGGAAGCCGAGAGCTCTATGAATGGGTCTTCTTTCATTATAGACGCTGTTATCAATGGAATATATTCAATTCCTACCCTAATTGACAACGGATGCGAATGTCTAGCTGCGGTTAGTAGTTCCTTTGTACTTAAAGCTAAGATACCTTGAATAAAAATAACTCCACAAAAGCTTACTGAAGCTACAAAGAATCAGAATGACAATGATTCTATAACAGAAATGGTCAGAATAGGACTTGATATTGATGGGTATCAGCGTACCTTATATGCGTACGTGATACCAGATCTATCTCATGATCTAATACTCGGAAAACCATGGATGGAACGAGAAGATGTTATCTATAATGCAAGGGAACATTTTATGGATATTGGAGAAGCTGTTGTGGATGATTGACCACTGAGAGTATGGGAAAAGGGTCAAAAAGAAAATATTGATTTGTCTTACCTGACAGCAAATATAAAAAGTTTGTCAGCAGGAGTATTCCTTGCAACAGTTAGAAAGGCTAGGAAGTCAAGGGCTGGCACAACCCAGATATTTTCTGTAACACTTGCAGATATTCAGAAAGCACTTGCACCTTCAAAGAAGTCACCGACAAATTTGGATAGGCTTCCAGACCACTGCAAAGAATTTGCAGACCTTTTTCGGAAAGAGATAACAGACAAACTTCTGCCTCATTGCCAAGGAGGTGATCACAAGATAAGGCTCGAGTCTGATAAAAAATTACCATGGGGACCCCTGTATGGAATGTCAAGGGATGAATTATTGGTACTGAGAAAGACCTTATCAGATCTACTTGACAAAGAG